GAATGGGCTCAAAGAGACCCCAGTTAGTTGCTTCTGGTTTAGCCTCAGAAGCGCCATCGGTAACTTTGCTAAGATTGTTTGCCCGCGAGCCTTTGCGACCTTTCTTTTTGCCTTTACCAGGAGCGCCCGGTGCTCCAGAGCGTTTGGTACTGACAGCCGCTTTGAGTGCAGCTATGACATCTTTCGTGTATTGCACTTGACCATCATTCGCGCCCTTTTCAATCGGAGCTGTTTTTAAATCAGTATGACAATACAATATGTGTGAAGATCGCATTGTACTCACTTTTCAGCCAACTCTTACCCGTCCACTCAATTGCACAGTTGACTTGCAATCGAGTACCATTGCCTTCTGACCATGAGAGACAATACCTAGTCTTGGTGCTGAAAACGTTCCCGCTAGGTACATCCGGAGTTACTGTTGATACCGTTACAGAAACTGCCTTCTCAAGATCCATGGCGTCCAGAGTCTCTGTAGAGACACATTTGGTTTGCTTGGGACCAATCGCGCCATTCAAAGGCTTGATATAGGTGTAATTTCGAACCTTGTTCTCCAAGGACAAGGGGATTTTAGCGTTCTCTTCGTAAGTGAGCTCGAGACATTTTTGTTCATTAGTGAGCCAATCTCGCATCCAGGTTATAGATGCGGGTCCAAACATAAGACTATAAACCTTTCCCAGAGGAGCTGGAATGACTTCATCTGCGAGTATTTTCGCGTAATGTGTGTCGCCATCGGAACAAGTTGTTGGGGCATGTGTAGCTGGACCAGGAAAGTCTACTGCGGCTGTTGGACTGGTTTGTTTACCTCCTTCCCCAGCCCCATTGGCCACAACAGCAGCGGACGCCTTTCTACTGACAACCTTTTCACCGGCTTCACTACCCACGACGCTACCATCGGCTTGCGTGAAGCTCATACCGTCTTCATCGTCTTCATCTTCATCGTAGACTTCCCCGCTACCTTCGCTGTCATCCGAGGACTGTGAGATACTACCTGGACGAGAAATAGGAACAGTGCCATCATCTTTCACAGTTTTGTCCCCGCCAGTCCCTTCAAGGGTAACCCCATTCAACGAGCTTCTTAAATTCGGGTGGCCAATCTTCCAAATACCGACTATGAGATCATACGTCGAATCACGACTTGTAAAACTAGCGAAAACATTCTTCGCATGTAATGTTGAAATCATCAAGCCGTTTTTGAATAGCAGTGCTGTGCTTCTCTTTTCCACTGAAATAATCTCGTCGAAGCTCATAACCAATGTTGTCACCCAACCAAAGATATTGCTACTGAAGCATAAGTGACCTTCGGAGACGTATAATCGACCATGGGCAAGAATCTCTCTTTGCAAAGCGCAGCTATAATCTTCGATAAGATAGTCATCGTCGGGTACGCTTCTGAAAAGCGCGTGAAAATCCTTATTTCTCTTCTTGCTTGCCACTGCAAACCCTGTGATCTTGGGGGCCGCCGAACCTGGGCTTCCGATAGATGAATTAGCTGCAGCAATTGCTGCTCCAATTGTTGTACCAGTTGCTGCAGAGCTGCCCCTTTTCCTGTGATTAACGCCGCTTCGTATACTGCCGCTACGTTGGATACCAGATTTCCCTTCAAATACACTTCCATTTGGAGGAGTTCGATCTCCATTCGCGCTTGGTTCGTAGACAGAACGTGGACGTGCAAGAGTATGTAAGTCTTCAAGTTGAGGTGTAGCGACCGCTTCGAGATTTTCTCCAGTCAACATATTTGGGGCAGTGGCAGAACGATTCGCGAAAAAGTGGTCATCCCTAGCGGGATCAGGCCTTCCGCGAACCTCGTCTGGATACTTCGGCATTATTGGAGTATTTCCTTCTTCTGAAATCCCGAATTGGCTCAGACTAAGATCTCCCATGCCCAATGTCTTGACGGCTGGCTCCTTTTCTTCCATAAGATTTTCTGTATCTGTCTTCTCTCCTAATGCTTCGACTTCCGGACTCTCAATCTCCTGTATACCTGGTATTGTGTGTGCACCACTCTTACTCCTCGCCCCCCCTGGGACCGACGTGTTTGTGATACTGTTGCTCAATGTATTTGCAGCGTTCTGAGCTGCAGAGAAAACCGTGGAGAAAAATCCCGATTGATTTTGTCCTGGTGTAATTGCTCCGTTCTCTGGTGTGGGTGTCAGCGGCGCAGATTGGATATTCGATAATTTACTTGGGACTCCTGAAGCAGAACCTGATCGAATTCGTCGATGTGATATCATATTTCCAGAAGGAGAAACTAAAACATTTGCAGCGAACCTGGTAGGGGACTCCGAGCTAGTGACAGAAGTAAATTGCGGTGATCTTGTGTCCGTCGGTGTTGGAGGCGTATTAACAATAACAGGGGCCGGCCTGTTCACAGATGGTGGAGTCTGAGGACGTGGGGTTGTATCGATGGTAGTGAGTTTGCCCTTTTCGATTTGTGGCCTTTCAGGAGATGATGTTGTAGATCGAGACTTACCGGGGGGGAACTGTTTATCAGAAAAGATTGAACCAACTTTCACATTTATGAGACTTCCCCGCCTGGAATCAGCCCCACCGTCCTTTGTATTCAGTGATTGATCAGCCCCGCCCCCTCCAGTCTTGCGTTCTGGACTTGTATTTGTGCTTGACCCGCGTCTTGGTTTGAAGACGTCTTTGAGTCTGCCAACTGGTGAAGATGAGCGTCTTTGAGATCCGTCGATGGGAGCTCGAAGGTTTTGGGTAAGGCTCTTGGAAGCTGACTCGGACGTAGCCAGACTGTCTGTGGAATCTGCGAATGGCTCTCCTTCTGAGTGAGAAAGTAAGGGTCCGATTTGTGGAATTGTCGAAGTATGTATGAGTGGGGACGAGGAAGTAAGATATCCAGTGTGCGAAGGGTGCGTAGTCAATGGTGGAGGTGTTTCGGCGGCCCTATCAAAGCAGCAATTTGAATTAGAAACTTAATTTGCTCCAAGCTAAGATCAGTTCTCCACACGTCAAAGCAAAGATGGATGCTAAAAATAGGTAAAATGTAGTGCGAGATGGATCCGAAATGGATGGAAATCGCAAATCAAGCGACTCGGTGGGCAATGCGATGTCGATGTTGTGATTTTAGAGTACAACTGGGCTGCATGCAAGATTGACGATGATAATGGGGAATAAGCCTGCAATGTTGTGGTTGTGACGCCTGAGATACCCCTAATGGGTCCCCCAAACTTTTTCGCTTTTTAAACCATGTCTCATTGTAATCCCCAAACCTTGAAATAACCGCGCGGGATTGACAGACAATTGTCGGTGAGGGGAGCAAAGGGAAATGAAATAATAAAAGAAAAAGGAGAGCAAGCAATCAAATCCGAACACCTATGGGAAGAGTGGGTGGGTTACTTACGACTCCGTTTCCGAATCATATGTTAACAAACTACTTCCACCAGAAGGGTTTCTGTTGATGGGATTTCTGATATCATTCTCCAGAGTCCCTCGCTCAGCAATATATTTCCCGCGAGCCACTTCTTCTGCCAAACGTTGTTCTGCCTCCTCTCGTTGCAGTCGCTTCTTCTTCTTTTCGAATCCTTTGGGCACAAATTTCTTGAGGCTATTCGACGCATGGCTCTCCTCCTCGGAATCCGAATCTTTCTTGATTTTATCTATCACTTGCTCTAACGAGGCGCGGAAACCATGCGACACATCACTTGCGCCGCTCCTTACTGAATGTGATGTTGAATTTCTATGCCTCCTTCCATTTCGCGATTTCGAAAAGATACCCGTCGATTTGGACGATTCGGAGGCCGTTGGCGAGGTGGGAATGTCGTCCATGGCGGGGGTATCAGCCAGAAATCGGTAAGATTGGGTAATTGGGATCTCCCATGCACGGAGGAAGGGATCGCGGTCGAAAGACAGTCTTTTCGAGATGGAGATATTGATATGCAATGTAGGTTGTATTGTGCGATATGCGAATAATAGGTACGGAGTAAGTGATACGGTAGATTCGGAGGTTGGAATATGTAGATTCAAAGTTCTAGGTCCATGAAATGAATCCCAGATAAGAAGGTATGATGGGTGCAATCACAACCGGCTCGACTGGAACGAGACTTGATTTTGGGATGAAGTAAAGATCATTCATAAAAGTATCGGTACTATGTACTATACTGTACTTTTCAATTCGAAAAACCTGACGTTATGACACGTTAATAGGTATAATGCTTGAATTGAATTGAATGGAATTGAATTTCATACGGTATGGAATAGTACAATGGTTTAAATATACGCACACCAAACAAACGAGGTTAAATTCCAACAAACTTTCAAAGACTTTGTGATTCTCATCATCATTCCTACCTACCCAGGACTTTTAATTGATTGAGTTACATCCGCCATAATCCAGAAAGTTCAATACGCTACCTACCTTGGTAACTACCTTGCTTGCCCCTGCCTACCCAGGTACTTTACTCACTCAACACGAGCTTTCCTTGTGAATTCAGTCTCCTTCTCACGTCATTGGTAGCCGAGCATCCAAGTTATGCAAGGGAAAGAAAGTTACGGGCACCTAGTTGGAGATTTGAGGCTAATTCGATTGACTGTCAAGGCTATTTTGCTCAAATTCATGATAGAGTAGCAGTATCTATCAGGTGGGTAAATCTCAATCTTTGCTGTGTCTTTATAAATAGGTGTACGTGGTAACTAGCACGTACGTTCGACAAGATGCTTTGAACTCCTCTGTCTTCTTTTAGGTACCTACCCGGTATGCATTGAACACCTGAAAATGGCCACTGTGAGATCATTACTTCTATCTAACTACCCACATATCTACCTACATGTCTACCTACATATCTACCTGCCTGAATACATGATTTTCTTGAGTAGAAGAACGTTTCGCCGCATTTGTAAATGATGTAGAATTTACATCTACATTTCCAATAGGGGAGAGTGTTCTAGGTCTGCAGTGCAGTATCTCCCGTCTACGGAGAACTAGCCGAGTCAGGTGGAAAGATAAGCAATGCCGACTACCCCAGACAGCCTAATCTATCCCTATCCGATCCTCACATCCAGCCTTATTCCTCCTCATTCTCCAAACGTCCACCTACACACAAACAATATTGGAATTCATCTTAACTTAACTACGGTCTCTTGAATAGAAGTTGACTGTATGACTTACACAAATTTGGATCCTTGATAACTATGGAGGCTTCCTCATTGGCGTTGGTATAGATATTTCCATCTTACGTTCAGACGTCATGATCACCTCTAACTGATAGCCAATATAGGCCCATGATCATGCTCGCGCTGCAGTCCTCGCGACGCATAGTTCAGATACAACTGTTGCAATAAATGAACATGCCTTAGCTGCAGGAGAATTTGCGAAAGCTGCATCTGGGACAGGAAGCGCAGAAGCTTCTAGGACTTTGAGACTTTTAGAACAACATCATCAGCGACTCTCAGAACTCCTTCGATACCCCACTGAACACCCCGTAACTCCGAACCCGAACGCGAATGAAGCAGAAGTAAAAGCTGTCACGGAGAAACCTGTATCGACATCTGCGGCCGTAGCAGAGTTACGCTCTTCCAAATCAGACCTTGGCCCTCGCACGCGAAATACCTCGGGCTCTCAAACTCCCAGGCGCCTCCCTCCGCGCGAATTGTCTTCATCGATCGCCAGTAATCTAGCTTCTGCAAGAGGCATACGCTCAAGTCATAGTCGCCAGCCACTCTCACCAAGTATATCAGCTTTACAGGCGCCAGGTACTCTTGACGGACGTCGAGAAGGCAGTAAAAAGCCAAACGTTGCATCCATTCCAGAGCACGCCACATTGAAGCCGACTTGGGTACCCCCTCAACATACTCAAACGAAAGCAGATGCTCAAACTTCTACATCAAGAACATCTGCGGTTGCTGAGCCAAAATCATCTCCTGCAACTGCCCAAGATGACGGATTCTCAAAGTTCTACAGTGCATTCAATAGTGTTGTTTATAAGTTATCGGCCCCATTAGCGTTTGCTGGCTTGCCTCTATTCTCAGAGCCTGAACCGTCTGCAAAGTCACCAGAAATATTACCTGCAACCACTCGCAAAAGTAGACCCCGAAGCAGAGAAAGGTTGCCCACGGAGGAGCCTGATCTTACCAAATATATATCCAAGGCCGCTCTCCGTGCATCCGCTCGTGATGGTCATCCAGGCAATGATTCCTTCTACGTAGTTCCCACCACGGGCGGTATGGTGTCATACGCGCAAATTCTCTCCTTTGAAAAGAAAGAACAACGTCGTTTAGCAGCGTCTATGCATGGCATAGACCCACAACTTTTTCCCGATCCAAACGATGAGGATGATTTTGTTGATGCTCGCGAAACGCCCATGCCTAGTTCACCCAGCAAATCGAAAAGCAATCGTCGTATGGCGGGTAAGGAAACAGATATTCGAATCGAAGAACTAGATCTCGAAAATAAAAGTCTTAAAAAATGTATCGACAAACTCAGCCAACGACTCCATGCTTTCGAAATGTCAGCGCAGAATAATGGTATGGCATTACAAGAAAGTATTCGTCTAATGCGACCTGATGATAGGAGTCCAGGCGGCAAATCAACCGATGAAATGGCTCGGAAAGTAATGGAGCTTGAAGAGCAAATGAAGGTCATAAATAAAGAAAATCAAAGACTGTTCCGCGATAATCAAAGGTATCGAGAAACGCTCTTGAGGTATAGGGAGAAATTCGATGCATTGAAGGCTGGGGCAAGGGGTAGAAGGGACAAGGAATTGAGTGTGAAGGAAGTAGAATCGAAAGATGGGAGTGTGAAAGCAGGAAACGGGGCAAATAAATCGGTAGGAAAGGACACCAGGGAAACAGGTGGAGGGAGATTCATGGCGGGATAGGTGACGAAACCCATTTTAACAACGTGTTGCGATATACTCTGGACCTGCTCCGATTCAATAGGTATCAAGCGTTAAGATTGTAAAGCGTCAATAGCTGTCTCGACTTAGGAGACAAACGGGTAAAAAGGAACCGGTAAAAGGTGTATATTTCAAAATCTCTAGCATCAATTTATTTCATCATCTGTCGGTCATTCATCATCCACTAGGGAAGATTACTTATAAACCATTTCATCCCATTCAATCATATCTCAACCCACATCTATCCTGTATCTCACACCTCTATGTAGGCAGGTACTTGTCATATCACAATGATTCAAATTCTCAAATCTTAATATTCGAATTTTATTCTGTATATTGTTTTGTGCGGGTTGTTGTGTTGGTGTGTTGGTGGTGTGTGGTATGTATGAGTATGAGTATGATTGATGAATGATGAGTATGAATGATGAATAATAAATGATGGATTAAAAAGTAAATCGAAACTCATGAGACGAAGACTGAGACTGTGTGTAGAACTCGATCTCAGATAATGTGATGATGCATATATATACCACACACAGCGCAAGGCAACGCAACATGACAAAACAAAAGACATTCATGAAAAAAATCTCTAACTCATTGTTTTTCTTCTCTAAAGAGTATTCCAGTGCCGTGGGCTCTGTTGTATGTATGTATGTATGTATGTATGTATGTATGTATGTACCTAGATATGTATGTACACCCATCACAAATCAAAACAGTGTTGAAACTTCCTCTTTCAATTCTCATACTAGAGTATCTAGGTATACGAAACAGATTCTGAATTCATTTCTGCATTCTTGCATTCTTGCATTTTCACTACACTCCCCCACCCAATCTACAAAAATAACATCTATCCTAAATCCCTCGTGCATCTGAATAGCCCAAAAGAAATCCTCTCTCAACAACCTATTCAGTTCTACTAATTTCCCTCTTTAAAGCCTTCAGCTCATCCCCAATATCTTTTACTCCTCCGTCCCCAGAAGCCCCGCCTTCATCAAAACTCATCCTCCGTCCCCAACCCTCTGGTTTCCTCTTCAAAAATGCACCCACGCTTCCAAGATATCCTTCATGTCTCAGAAACATTGCTTTTTTCTCTCCGTTACTCCAGAATTTGATCGCATAACTCAATGTATTAATCGTTTGTCTATGTCCCCTAATAAAACTACCTCCGAAATATATCGTCGACAAAGAATGTTTTTCCGATTGCAGATATGCAATTTGTCCTATATTGTTAGATATTGCATACAAGAGGGACCGGGATATGTCCCCGTGGGAAAATGGTGGTTCCTCGGCGGAATGGGAAGAGCTAGACGGTTCTTCGCTGTTATTCTGTCCTCCCGAGTCTTCGGCTAATCGTTCGGCTTCTCGTTTCATGCGGAAGACTTTCCCGAAGGAACTTGCGATGGTGCTACTCTTGAGCCCGATTTTGCCATAATCTGTACCGTAAATATCGCCGACTAACATGTCGACTTTGGCATTGTCACCTCTTTCGGCCATTCCGAGCATGTCGTCGAATGTTCGAGCTCCCGTCAAGAGAGATAGTAATCCCCAGAGTGTGCCACCACCCAGAGAGGTTCCGCCAACCCTTTGATATTCTCGTGGTCCGGATACCTTTATCATGGACACACCGCTTCCGATGTTGACGAGTAGATACGGGTAAATATCTGGACTGGGCGAGGTGAAATGCATTGGATCCCTTTCGCTATATGTAAATACTTCCCGGGGGATCTCGGTAATGAAGAAATCGAGACCTGTGGTTTATTTTCCGTTAGCATTGCATAATATCAATAGGACGCCTGCCATAAGGGAGGAGAAAGTACCGATGATCAAACATTCCATCTCATCCTCTCGTATAACATTGACACCCAAAGCTTCCTTAATCTTATCATAAAACTTGTATGCCCCTCCACCAGTTGCCATTACACATAAATCACCAGGTCTCGATCCATTGAGTTTCTGTTGCTTGACCTGCAGCTGTTTCATAAACTCCACACAATCATCTATGCGATCCGTCTCGAAATTCATAAAATTGAGACGACCGCCTGGCTCGCGCGAATGTGCCTCTCTCGAGAAATATACAAGCTTAGCTAAAGAACCTCCGATCTTAAAAACACGTCAGTATATCAATCATCAACCCACAGCTGTGATCCGAGAAAGTGAACTCATACATCTACAGCAATATGGCTGACCACCGCCGTATGGTTCGGCAGCCGAATATCCTGGGTATCGTAATTCCTCTCATTCGTGTTCAATTCCTTTGGCGAAACAGAATCCTGATCAACGATGAATGCGCCCGTCACATTAATCTTCACGCTTCCTGGATGGATAATGGTACTATCAATTTCCGCCGTGTTTGTTCTCGCGCGCATATGCCCGGCGACCGAAGCTTGCGAGGAGGGGTTGGTGGGGTTTTCATTGTTGGAGTTCGAGGTGGAGGGAATGAGATTCTCTTCAGTCCGCGGGATATCCGCAGACATGACGGATTATTGCTGGCTGGAATGCCAGGGAATTCAAGTGATTATACAGACATAAATATAAGATGTTGGAAGAAGAATCTGACATTGATTGACCGGAGTTTGATTGATTGCTATTTTGAAAGAGCCATTGCCGAGCCGAAATACGAAAAGGTTATTTGTTCAGGGGTCTCTCTTATCGATAAGCAATCAAGTGCCGCCGTCAATTTATTTAAGGTTAGTTTTCGGCACTCGAGCTCGAGTGCTTATCTTCCCCTTTTTTGTCTCTCGAATTGTTCGTGGTAATAGGCGACGACTGACTTGGCTTTGTAAGACTCTTACTTCTCACTTATTCAAGATGATCAAGGTGATTATGCACACGCATCTGCGTTGTCCGGTTTCTGCGTGAACAATAGGAAAAGACAAGCTCCATTGTTTGATTTCAGTTTGCATAATCATCATCAATCTACGCAGCAGTGATCTCGCATTCAATTTTGCTGTTAAACTGCTTTTTGATCGCGATATACTCCACAGCACAACGAGTACAAGTATTGGAAATGTTATATTTGTAACTTTTGTAGCATCTGCTGTAGAACTGCTCCTTCTTTTCCTTTTCTATCTAGTATATATCTCTTTACAAGTGCAAACATTGAATGTTATGCTCAAATTCATATCATTGTAAGAGTTCTGGCCCCTGCTCACTATACATATAACGCTTTTTCAACTAAAATATAAGATTATTCACTTTTTTATATTCTAATTTATTTATTATAATAAAAGATAAAATTAAGAATTATATTATAAAAAGATTTAAAGTTACTGAAAATATTCAAAAAATTTTTTTTTAAAGATTTTTATAATAATACTTTTAAAAGGATTAAAATTGAAAATTTAAAAAAAAACTAAAAAATTAATTTATTTTGTATAGGAAAAATATTACAAATTAAGAAAAATTAATTTTTTCAATTTCAAATTTATACAATTTCCTAATAAAAATACTTAAAAATGAACTATTTATTTTTTTAACTAATTTTTAATATGATTTATATATGATTTGATTTTCGAAATCAAATCTTTTAAATTGAAAATACTATTAATTTTTTTTAATTTGTATAAAAAAAACGCTATTTTTGTGAGGATTTTGTTACAGAACAACACAGTGTACGGTGAGCAGAGGCCAGAACTCTTATAATGTATATATATCGCTAAACAAAATCTCTATGTCTGAAGCATATGTCGAGAATGTCGTAGATACCCATCCGTTTAGATGTCTCTATCATCGTGGCGTCTTCCACTACATCATTAAGCTTACAAAGCTCCAGAACTCTCGGTAAATTGTACTCTCCGTAGACTTCATTACGATTCCAAAATATCAGTCTATCTATTTAATCATCATTTTGTATGTAAATCAAGAACGTTGAATCGTCGTATTGTTCTTGTTATCTATCAATGCAACGCTCTCATGACATCTCACCAAAACCTCAAAGAGATCACGATTACTCATAATCCCAAACTAAGATAGCTCAAGTGTGTCAAAATTTGGAGTCCGGCTAGGAGCTATCAGAAGATCAAAAATTCTCCGTAGTAGAAGCTTTGAAAGAAGAGCTCTCGGCTCGGAGCTCTTAATGCTACCCAAACGAAGCTTCTTAATTTTTCCCTGTCACTATCAAAAATAAAAATATCAACCCTCATTTTCAGTTGTTCATGACCAATCATCTATTTTTAAAACATCCGTTTCTCGAAGAATGTCTCTCATTCTTCCAAACCCGGCCTCCGAAGAATGTCATCTCCATTCACCCCGTCAACTTTCCATCTCATTTCTATTTTCTACACAAAGGACCCCACTGTCGAAATTCTCCAGCCACACACATACATGCACCAGTATAAAACTGATATCTGATTGCGGCACTTTTGCAATTGCCATGTGGGATTTCCTGTTCCGGCGTCTGCAAACCTGATACCAGCATACATACATACCCGCATGTCTAACATCCCGCCATTGCGGGATTATGTGGGACAGTTGTACATTCCTGTTCCCAACGTATCTTTCTGGCAGGGCAACATTGATAGATTTTCTATCCTCGAAAGGGAATGAATAGAGGAAAAAAATGGATGAAATTGAAGTGGCAGAAAGTAATGTGAATTATCGTTACAAGAACAATCAATTCAGACCCTTCTCGAATGATCCCTCCATCCTAAGGAATGACGCTCGTTGCCGCGCATCAACCCTCGCCATTGAAAGGAATGATGTATACCATCGAAAGCAACTCTTTGTCTGCACGCTTTCTATATAAATCCAGCATCTACCCCTCCTCGTTTTCTTTTGTTCTCTATCGTTCTCATCTACAATTCACTTTTCATCAATTCGTTTCAACTTCAACTTCAGTCTCTAAATCCCATCTGTATAATCTTCTTCTTTAAAGTTTCAACTGCAACCAACCTCATCATGAAGTTCTCACTCGTTGTTTTGGCCATTACTGTCACTCTTGCCTCTGCGGCCGAGTTTCCAGGTCAGCCAGCTTGCGCTGTAGGTACTCCATAGTAGCTGTCTCAATCGCTTAACTAACAACCCTTCCAGAGCGCCTGTATCACACAAGCTGTTGCAGAAGGCACCAACTGCGACATCGAAGACACAGCCTGCCAATGTCAAGCCTCCAATCTCGCCGGGATCTCCAGCGCTATCGTTCCCTGTATCCTCGGTGCCTGCACCGCAGCCGGAGAGATCCAACAAGCTCAAAATGCTCCCAATAGATGCACCATAGCAGCTGCAGAGACAACCGCGTCCGAAAGCACCAGTACCGCAGAGACTACTTCGGAAAGCTCCACCTCGTCCGCATCTCCAGGCTCATCATCTTCTTCTTCGGGCCCGTCCTCGACTTCTGAGGTAGGCTCATTAACCACTGCGCCGGCTACTACTTCAAGACCTGGGAATGGAACGGTTACTACCGCAGGTCCTACTGCTACTTCTAGTGCAGCTGGAGAGGTCACCGCAAATGCGGGACACTCTGTTGGGCTTGCGGGTGTTGGTGGTATGGTTGGTCTTCTTGCGGCCGTGGTCGCTGCTTTGTAGACGGTCTTGTCTTCTAGACTTGGGATACAGATACCATAGCACAGTACAGCATGCGATGTTTTTTGTATTACTGTAGTGTTTGCTGGAAAGGAAAATGGAGGAGGATGTAATAATTATTGGATATTTTGGATTCTTCTAATCGCGTAATCAAAGGGTATTCAGGGAAAAATCTGGATGGGAATGGACAATTTCATGGGAACGATCCTAGGCACGGCGAGACTTGGTAAACTTACGACATTCCTTTACGGCAAGATTCTCGTTTTATCTATTATGTAGCTAGTAAAGGTCAATAAATCAATTCACATCTACACGACCGCTCCCAGTATCTCATCTGATCATCTGCGTTCCCTGGTAAGTCGGTGAGACAATGGCTTCTTGACGCCAAAACCTATCCCGATTTCTTTCCCAGCTCTCTTCAATTCGACTAGACATGAAGAAAAGTCATCCACTACTGACCGGGGCGAAGGAGCTCGCACCCAACCACTTGTTGCATCCCGGCTGGGCTATCCTTCAAACTTTAATCCTCTCGATGCACCAGCTCTCATTCAGTCTTTTCATCAGTCACACGAATGACGACCCCCATAACCATGCAAGGATAGTAAGCCACCAATCAAGTTCCCTCGAAAATAGGTCCGACTTTCCTCCAGCGCGCCATGGCGAGCTGAATACTGTACATCCAAAATTCAGCTGCATACTCGCGGGCGATATCAGATCCAATGACTCGGTACAAGATGTAAACAGTATTTAAACCCCAGGGTAAATCAGACATAAGCAGCCACATCTCTAGATGTGACTCTTCAGATGTGTCAGATCCAATCATTTGGTAATCTTACATCGCCCCGTTAAGATATTAATGGGATGTAAGATCTTCCCGCGGCGGTGCCATGCGTAACCGATCGATCGAACTAATGCAGCTACATCTATAAACATTATAGTTCGAGGGACTAGTGGGCACAAAAAAGCCACATGGAGTCTATTGACTTTTCGTGCATTTATGTTGCAAATGAACATGCGGGGTGACAAACGAGACAATCAAGGTTCACAAAACGAGATTCGCGAGCTCGAGGCGGGATGCTCAATTTGTACATCACAAATGACGGTATTGGGCTGGAAGGTTCTCTGAGGAATATCCAATAGAACGATCTTGTTGAATTTTCCAATCCTAAATACAGCAATATACTCGCACTAAGTTGCTAGCCTAGATTTAAATGCCAGGCGCCATGAGGATCGAGGAGAGATGATACCTGGGATGATAGAATCTGAGATTGTAAATGATTTGATTCAGCTTGAAGGTTTACAGGATAATATCCACTTTGACTGATCTCATTACAGCTACGGAGTCCAGATGCAACGGCAAAATATCAAGCAGAAACCTATCTAAACTTTTTGTTGGTCTGTTATGGAAGAGACAGATTCTTTCCACCTCTCTCTATCACATCATCTCTACTATAGGGGAATGGCTGAAGATTCCATGTATACACTCCTCATGTCTTAAAAACACATCTGTACCGTCTCTCTCTACCAACAAATGCTCACATGAAGCGCTTGATTCTCGACCCCACGAATTTTGTGCGTGCAATTTTCGTCATGTCACTAACATTGGCACCGCTATTATTGAAGGAGTCGCTAACGATTTCCTATAAAGATAATACATGCAGATAAATCTCTCCCGTGTCACACAGCCGCCCAAGAATGACTTTCAGAGCCAATAGAGATTAGAAAGAACTTTCTCCCAGTCTTTAAAGTCTTATCAACCTAATTTAAAAGGTCGGATACCAGAGGATGCAATATGAAAGGAACCGAGTCAAGTGAAAGTATAAAGAGACGAGCATCTCTGCCCCAGAATCAGCTCAGCACTTTCACTTGTTGGAGATCATCAAATTTGCAGAATAACATCATTCTTGAGTCTCATCTTATCTCAAATTGAACAACATGTTCTTTACAAAACCATCAGTTATTCTCCCACTCTTTTTGGGTGCATCTCTGACTTCAGCGATCCCAACACCTGAATTAGTAACCAGAACTCTTGGAGAAGTTCTTAACGATGTGCGCCCCAACCCCCATCTCTGCGAAACGAATCTCTCTAACGATAGAATAGTATGAAAGCATTCCTCTCGGCGGTATCCCAGGCGTCATGAGTGCTGCGCCTATCACCGCTCTCTACAACCAACTTTCCTATTCTAATTTCTATGCGGTGCGACAGACCGGTCTATTGACTTTCCTTATTAAACCTAATGGCAATCAAGCTGCCGTTGGAAACAACATTTCCACTCTGACATCGGTTTATGCTGGTTCTCCAGTCGCTTCTTTCAAGCCTAATTCCGCATACTTCGGATGTGTTGTGAATAGCGATTCTTGCCGTGTCCTCCAGCTGTATCTTGTACTGTGGAAGTTACAGCCTATAGACCAGATGGTACACCATATACTGATAAAGCAGGATGTTCTTTTGATGGCGGGAATACTCGTAAGTACACTCGATTGCCAATATGTTTTTGAAACGCATTGTGGAAATACTTCCAAGCTCTAGGCACGAACAAACGCTAACTACCTGACTAATGGTAGTTGATCAATGCACGTTCCCCGCTACCTGGACCACAGTTGGAAAACTTTCATACCAAGTCGTCGCATCTCAGATTTTGACATCCGTGGGCCCCACCCTTGGTAGTTTGCTTGGAAGCTTATCCGCCGCGCTTGGCACCGTTCTTTTCTATTTCGACGACCTTGATGCAATCTATACATGTATTCCTGGAAAGACCAATGCTGTGGTTGGTGGTCTTTGTGGCTGAAGGCACTAGAATTGGTATAAAGTAGATGGAAGCTTGCTAGAAATTTGTCAAAACGGATTTACACAAGTGACTGTGTGTTTGGAAAGGGTCATGCTGCCTTTATGGCTTTTGTTACTATTTTAGTTTTTGCTTTTATACTGTCACTTGAATTTTTTGGCTGCTACCAGGTCTGATGCCGGAGCTCTGTCTTTCTTTAGCTTAGTTTCTCTATCTGAGTATTGATCTTTTGAGGCGATTCCAAGAACTTTCATATGATAAATGTGATATCCTTGTATAGAATAGCTCTGTCAATCGAAACACGAGACAGTGGTATGTCAAGATACAAGAAGGCAGAAAAGGTACTGTATCATTCTTCCCTCCATCAACTAGATGCGAAAAAGTTTTTCTAAAGGGAGTTGATCAGGGAAAATGAGCATCGAGTGTACGCTCGCCTTTCAGTTTAAAACATATAGCGCGGCGTTCATCAGATGAATACTACTCCGCGATTGTAATGCTTTAGTAAGAAACTTCTTGGACGATATGGAATAAGAAGGGGAAAAAATCCAGCACACTCAAAGATACAAGGAATTAGTTGGTAAGCCTGCCTGGACTCAAAACTGAATGGAGTAACGGCTTATCAGATGAGGTACTCGTGGTCGTTGACGTGACAGTAGAAATAGTGAGTGACATGTCAGATTTCCAGGTTTTCAGAAGACTCAAAGCTTTTGTTGCACTTGCAGATTATGGTCAAATCATTTATCGAATTAGAAAGTCTTCGATATATCATGGAGGATGAAGACTCTAGTAATCACCTCGTGCCGTGAAGAAATCAACATATTTATTGATTAGTAAGAGGATATCAAGAAGAGCAAATAAATGGCGACAAGAGTGATAAGAGAGATGCTTGCCATTTCCACCATCTTATCGCCAAATTCTGCGACCCCGCACTAAGGACAAAAGCCAATCACATCCCGCATAGATTAGATAAGCATCCTTCACCACTAAATTTTTGGATACTTGGGAAGGAATCATTACAATCCAAGTAGTAAAAACTTAACTCACGATCGAGATGTTTCGCGACACCGAATTTCCACCATCTTCTGGTACCTTTACCATGTTACCGTCTGAACCTACCACTCAAAATGACGATTTTGACGATGTCTTCGGATCCGAACCAGGTTCTCCCATATTTGACGGCAGAGATATGCGCGACGGAGATATGTTTGGAGTTGGAAATACAGAGATTTCAGATATACCAAGATTAAAGGAGAAGCACGAAACAGAAGGATATAGAGATGGTGTTACAAAGGGAAAATCTGAGAGTGTTCAAAAGGGATTTGACGAAGGTTATGGATTAGGTGCTGTGTTGGGATTACGGATAGGAAAGATTATCGGAATTCTTGAAGGGATTTTTGGAGCAGTGTCTGTGTCCGCAAGCAAGTCCGAAGATGCAGAATGGAGAAAAGAGAAGAGTCGATTAGAAGAATTGTCCAATAATGCAAAGAGCGAATTTAAGACAGAAAAGGTTTTTGCGAGAGAGTGGTGGGGCGAGGATGGAATATGGAAATTTGAAGTTCCAGGAGAGAAGGAAGGAAAAGATGTCGTATTTCCCGATGTTGCTGCAGCACACCCTTTGCTCAAGAAATGGGAAGGGATTGTGGAAGAGGAGATACAAAAGTGGTCGTTGGATATGGATTTGATGGAAGGAAATGAAGAGGACGTTGTGCTCGTGGGACAGCATATGAAGGCTGATGCTGTGGAGCAGAGGATTGGTGCGGCAAAAACGGATCTGAATTGGTGAAAGAGCATTGACAACACAGAATTCAAATGATCATATCTGGAGGCAAATCCGACTTTCCACGACATATACGAGATTTGGCCAGCAGATGCCATCTTGGGACTACCAACCTCTCAAACCAAAATAAACCGTCAAGCACCGGTATTCACACGTCGAAGGAAATTGACGGTTTGATGTCGGACAGAAACCCAATGAGTAAATCTCCGTTTGCTCGGGGCAATTTACAACATGCATCCTTTCCTCATTTTGTCTACATCTTGATGCAAGCAGGTCTAAGGATCAGATTGATCGGTCCCAGCACCGACGCCTCGTGGACATAACCAGCCCTCTATGGAGCGGATGTGACCTCGGGATCACAAGTTCAGAGCAAAGGCCACCCTTTTCGGAAGTTTGAAGAAACACATGAATTTTAAAGGACCCAAGCGTACGCCAACATTTATCGCTAAAGTCAAGCTAGAAGTAACGAGAACCATTTTGGGGCCCTTCCAACCCACCCTGGGTGTCTGTCTCATTTGAGATGATTATGCATCAATTCACACTTTAAGGTTGAAGAAGTGTGTGGAATTGATTAACCATTGGATGGAGATTCTGTAGCCAGCTGTTGCCACGGGGCATTTGAATTATAATAATAGAATTACCCAATAATACCATGTGCTATTCTGATATCTATGTACCTATAGATCTTTGACCTATCCTGCACTCCATCTATTTAAATCAAGATACGAGAAACTAAGCGGATATCCAGCTTTGAGCGCTTACAGAGACCCAATTGCTGGGGGGAGAGGGTTTTCATGTGCAGAGTACCACCCTGTGTGCTGCGGTCAATGCACACAGGTAGGCTCGTAGCCAGCCTTTCCAACTTCTGGTAGTATCTGCCATGAAACACACCATTGAAAGTAGCTAGCAAAGAAAGAAGCTTAAAACCGCCGAACCAGTTAAATCTCGCGATGGGAAAGATCGACAAGGGTAATTTAATGATCTACCATCGTCCCCGCCAATGATATGTCATGGAAATTGAGGTTGTCGGTGCTCATGGAAAAAGTACCTCACCAAGAGATGGATAAGCAACAGCTAGAATATGTCACTCTCGCATTCGATAATAGCTTAATGAGTAAGGCGATTTCCTCCGAGTGGGTGATGTGTGAATTGACCGCGGGTTGTCGAGCACCATAAGGCCTAGTAGGAGTGGGAGGATCCAGTTGAAAAGACTCTTGTTGGCGTCTGAGTAGTTAGTTGGGAGGTGAGGTAGATCCAAGAGCCGGCAACAACGGCCCTGCTATATTGGACGAAAAGAAGCATTTTTATTTTTTATTTTTTCCGGCCTATTAAACTCACAGACATTGGTCCCTGAGTCTTTTCCTATTTCCCTAAGGTAGATAATCCTCGAATCTTAGCTGAGGTGCAAACTTAGTCCTCTCACAGACGCTTCTTTCCTTCCTGACTCTCCTCCGTGACTACCACGATATATGAAAATATAGCCGACACCACAATTTTAGTCGGTACTGATATCCGTACCACACAAATCAGATCAAATCAGATCAAATCAGATCAAATCAAGAAGGGAAAGAGGTGCTTGGTACGTACCAGGTGGTTATGTAAGTGGGACTTATTACTCTTTTAGTATCTACGTACCTACCTACCTAGTACTTATCATCTCATCTCTTTTCTTCTCTCCATCATCCGATTTTCCTTTCTCTTCTCCCCTCCTCTCCCTTATAATTCTACCCTACCAATCCTCCATCTTCATCCTCAACCTCAACATTCACCTCTCTCTCCTCTCCTCTGACCTCTCGTCTTCACTCCTAGCAAGCCCCTCACATTCTTTTTCCCTATTAATTCCCTATATCAAAGATTCAATCTTTATATGGGCTTGCTGTCCACTCCTTTAAAGATTGTTTATAGCTCTATTATCGAATCCTAGATTTCTAATCGTTTTGAATTAATTCATCGGGTCGAAAAAAACAACAACAACAACAACAAGAACAAGCACCTTCCGAAGAGCAATCGCATTTGCTTGCTTTTTTGTGTCTAATTAAACACCCTACCATACGAGGTGAGTTGTCATATATGTCTCATTTCACACTTTATACTTCAGCCTTCCCACTTGATATACTTCAAACTCTGTCACTTGCATCGCCAATTGGCGCAGGAAATTGCGGTCGCCTAGTGAATGGGTAAATGACTTTTGTTGATCTACACAGCCTTCACCTCGAATGCGACAAGGCAAGGCTGGGAGTTATATAATACTTCACACAATACCTCCAAAATCTCAAACCTCAAATCTTCCTCTCTTTGTATTTTCCATTTTATTCAAGCTACAATTTACTTACTTGCTTGTCGTTACTTGTCAATATCTTCTCGCATTGAGTTTGACGCACCCCATACTGATCTTCTTTAAGTGATCCTTAGCAGCCATGAAGGCTACCTTCATCTCCTTGGGCCTTATTGCCTCTGCCTCCGCCAATATTGTCTTCAATCATGTCCCATTAAGCTGTGATATCCGAAGCACTAATTTATACTATGGTTGTCTTGAAGGTCAAAATTGTACAGATGATGGAACTAATGAGTGAGTAACCTTGGACAAGTACAACAGAAGCATAAAACTAATTTTTCCTTCAGATGCTATGTCCCAACCACTCCAATGCCATCTCGTTATTACCCAGTCCCAGTCGAAGATCGAAAAATTGAGCCAAGACAAGTTGTGTACTCAAAAGATGGTAGCTGTGGTCCTGCCAACGGCAACACTCTTTGCGATCCAAACAGTACAGTGTACAAAGGATCATGCTGTTCGGTAGGTTATCCCGACAAATCATGGAAGATCGACAACTGATTTCAGTGATAGTCATATGGCTGGTGTGGAAATGATGAAGCGTGAGTACACTGGCAATCATTATTATTCATAAATTGTTGCTAATACCTTATAGTCATTGTGGAGCCGGATGTTTGTCAGGATGTACCAGCGGCACTACAACTCCAAGTGGTACCTCTCCTCGAACTGACGGTCGATGTGGAAGTGTGAGTATTCATGTGTTCAGTTGTGGTTGTAATGTACTGACCTTAGTAGGCTTTCGGTGGTGCTACCTGTGATGCAAACGGTGAATTTGGTGGTTGTTGCTCTGCGTATGGGTGAGTCATGCTCTTGCTCACATTCAATTTGAGCTTTCATATTGCCAGAATTTTTTCCTATCATGAACGGATGCTAATCTTGCTGTTTTTAGTTATT